GTTCTAATCTCAAAACCTAGTTTTTGAACTTCAGCAATTTATGTTACGGCTATAACTTTAGAGCGGAACAATATTTTTTGAAAAAAATTAGGTTCTGGTAAAAGTTGTCTAGTATTTATAGTAAAAAGTTCCAGCTCAATCGGATGAAATTTAAGGGGGGTGGAGCGTAAGCGGGTACACTGAGAAACCAAGTTATCTCGAAAATTCGTCGAAAGCAAAAAATTCCAGAAAAGTCTAAACTTATATGGGAGACTATCTCCTGGTAAAAATTTCAGCTCGATGCGACTTTCTTAGCCAATGCAATCATATGTGCAAAAACGACCTATACGCTAACCTTGAACAGACAGTCAAGAAACCTTACCAGTCGAAACCTAACCATTTACATCTTATGAGGGAAGGCTACCAAGTGTCCTCTCGCTTTTGAGCTGAGACTCAGTTGACCGAGCGATTGTGAGCGAGTTTTCTACGTCAAAAACTTGAAAAAAGAGAGGAAAACCGGCTTTTTTAAGCAGTATAGTGCAAAAATTGCTCTTTTTTTGCCTTGTTTTTCAACTTATCGAAGGCCTATTGAACTGAAGTTGGAGTGTGTCATATCTAACACATATACGCAGCGATATTGATTAAAGGCCTTCGATAAGTTGAAAAACAAGGCAAAAAAAGAGCAATTTTTGCACTATACTGCTTAAAAAAGCCGGTTTTCCTCTCTTTTTTCAAGTTTTTGACGCAGAAAACTCGCTCAGAACCTCTCATGAAACCTTGAAAAGTGGTTTTCTGTAAGTTTCGCGACGTACTCTATCAACTGGACGGATCAAAAGAAGTTTTAGCGCAAATGGTGTTTCGACTTGAAAATCAAGATTTTCAAAAACCGAGACTTTACAGTCAAAATTAGCCCAAACCATTATAAAATTCGGAATCAGCATGCTCGATTATCCCCGTCAACTGAGTCTCAGCTTAAGAGCGAGGGAACACTTGGTGGCCTAAGGCTATTTCCCGTGATACATTTGAAACCCAGCTCAAACCAAATTGCAGGATATGCGATGGGTTTGAAAAAATCAAACCAATCTCGTCGTATGGGTTGAGTTCAAACTTATTGTTTTCAGTTTCTTTTTATGATTCTACTTTTTCATTATAGCCTAAAGAGAACTGATATTCTTTACTTCTACTTTTAAATCAAGATATGAATCCCGAATTACTTTTTGTAAACCAACACTCATCACCTAAATATCCACCACGTACTTACTATAATGCTAAAAGTAGTGATGTAACACTAGCTTTAGCTGTGGATCTTACTACTAGAGGTGAAAAGTTAACTCATAAGGCAGCAGGCGAAAAATATCTTGGCTTTCAGTTGACTGATGAAATTAAAACTACTGCAATCACCAGAGAACTGTACAGAAAATTAAGAAGCACTAATGGTAGAAAATTAAATGTGGCCGGTAATGGAATTTATACTCTTAGTAAGCATAATCGTAATCAGGTCTTCGTCAATCAATTTACTTATGAAATCATTGCCCAAGTTCATAACATTCTTCCATTAGAACGTATTTTTACTGGTGGTCAAACTGGATTTGATATTGCAGGTGCTGTTGCTGGTTATGCATTAGGAATTCCTACTGAAGTTACTTTACCACACGGCTATATTCAACGTTTTGAAAATGGCGCAGATGTAGTGCAGACTCAAGAACAAATTATTAAACAAATTCAAGGTGGTGCCTTAGCTCTCACACCGTACATGCCTGTAAATTAAAAA